GCTAGGTTTTGCTTAATTTCTCGCTTTTCTCCCCTTCTCTATTTCTACGGACCACAGTGGCAACATGTAAGCAAACATGTTTTTGTGTATGATTGCTCAAATACTGTACTCAGACTTCAAACTAGCAGGAATGTTTGGCTAAGAATCTTGATGACCTCTCCCTGCACCTTTGAATTCTTTCCTTTCACACATTTCAGAGCTCTTCTCCTACTCCTGATGCTTATGTGTTTTAATCTTCCACCTATCTTGAGGTCTATTTTTACTTTCTAGTTGATCATCATTTCACTCCAGGGAACCATAAAATTAAAGGAAAGCCAAAAGACGTTGGTAGCCATGCTCATGGTCACCTAGCCAGCTAGCCACAAAGGGGGCGTCTCTGGACACTCAGCCCTGAGCTCATGGTTATCCAGTTCATTCACTTGTAATGATACATAATAGGCCCTATCAGAAGGGCACATAGAAAATAAATCAACAGTTTCTGATTTTAAAAAGATTTTTTAGAAAGATTTTAAGTAATGTCTACACCCAACATGGGTTCCAACTCACAACCCTGAGATCAAGGGTTGCTGGCTCCACCGACTGAGCCAGCCAGGAGCCCCCTGGTTTACATTTATAGCTCAATTTAGGCTGAAAGTCTTACAGGCAGAAATCGTGTTTATCTGCCTACTCCTCTGAACATTTTGGAACAGAAGGGAACACAGGCTGACTATTAATGGTGGACAGGCTTCTGCCTCCCTTCTATTCCTTTCAGGGCAGGGTACACAGCCCCTTACTCCTACTTGTGTGTGGTGGGCCCACTACAGAAGATAAGATTTAATTCAAATCATATGGAATGCATAAAAGCCACCAAGTCTTCAAAAGAATGTTTTTTGTTTATCTTGGGACTCTAGCAAATTCAGACATACAGATCTGTGCAACAGCCTGTTTGCTTCAAGCTCCAGAACTTTACACTGATGTTATAAAAATGAAGCTATTAGAAGTCATGGTTTGCTATCCAAGGAATGTGGGGCCAATTCTGCCAGTATAAAAGAACTTCTTAATCTCTTTGTGCAAAGATTCTCTTTTTCCTTTCTTTTCCCCCCATAGCTGGGGAGAATGTTTACTACAATGGATCTCAGATTATGTCTACTATTGTGCATACTGTCCTCTAAAGCCTCTATTTTATTCACACTTTGTCTGCCTTATCTGAACACTGCTAATAGTAACTAGCTAGCAATGATAGGCACTCACAAAAATTAAAGAATAATAGAATCATTCGCAGAGTAATAGAATGTTAGAGCACACTGAGGTTTTCAGACTAATTTGTCTAATCCTTAATTTTTATAGATGAAGCTGGAACCCAAATAAATTCTTCTGCCCAGTCCAGAGATTAAATAATGCACTGTTACTTGTTGCAGTGTAACAAGTTACTACCAATACTTAGTGGTTAAAACATACATAACCGTTTATTTGCTCATGATTTTGCAATCTGGACAGGATTAAGTGGGGACAGCCTGACAGTTCCACATGATGTTGGGTGGGGCAGCTCAAATGGGGTTGGAGGATCAAGAGTGGTTTAACCCATTTGTGTAGTGCCTCAGCTGGGCTGCTAGAATGTCTGAGGGCAGACTAGGTCTCTCTGTCCCTTGGTCTCTCATCCTCAAGTTCTTCATCTCTATACCAGGGTAGTAATGGTGTGGCTTTTCAAGAAGAAAAGTGAAGCTACCAGGACTCTTAGCTTGTAGATTATACAAAAACAGTGACAGGCTGGATTGGCATTATGGGTCATAGTTTGCTGATCCTTGCTTCAGGTCTGATCAGTTTTGGGCTTTGCATACTGACCTGATATTTCACTACACTGAAATATCTCCTTTTCCTTAAGAATAGCCCAAATTTGTAGCTGATTAGCTCTCTCAGTCTGCTTCATGCCAATAGAAACCCAAAGGTCCAGAAACTTCTCATTTTGTCCTGTTTCTGTGTCTAAAAAAGCTGGCAATTCTTTCATTAACACAATTATTTTTTTAAAAAAATACAATTATCTTTAAAATATGTAGATTTTCTATAAATCTTATTGAGGTTCATTCTATGCTCCAAAAATTTATAACCAATACCATTTTCTCAAAAACATTATGGGTTTTCTGTAAATCTTAATGAGGTTTAACTCCATGCTCCAAAATTCACATGTATTATTCTTTCTAAAAATAGACCTCTCTACTTTGTGCTTGTCAGATTAGAACAATGCACTTAAGATTCCTAGAAGACCTGAGATGGTCTTCAAAGTACCATATTAGGGGCGCCTGGGTGGCTCAGTCGCTAAGCATCTGCCGTCGGCTCAGGTCATAATCCCAGGGTCCTGGGATCGAGCCCCGCATTGGGCTCCCTGCTCTGCGGGAAGCCTGCTTCTCCCTCTGCCACTCCCCCTGCTTGTGTTTCCTCTCTGTGTCTCTCTCTGTCAAATAAAAAAAAAAAAATCTTCAAAGTACCATATTAAATCTCCCTGGAATCTTTTTTTTTTTTTTTAAGATTTATTTATTGATTTCATGGAGAGCGAGAGAGAGAGAGAGAGAGAGAGAGAGCTCACTAGTGGGGGGGAGGGGCAGAGGGAAAGGGAAAGAGAGAATCTCTAGCAGACTCCCCACTGAGTGTGGAGACCAACAACGCTGGGCTGGACCTCATGACCCCATAAGATCACTACCCCAACTGAAATCAAGAGTCCGACTCTTATCCGACTGAGCCACGTTGGCGCCCCTCTGTGGAATCCTAAAAATAAAAAAATGTTTTGTAGCCCCACACAATTTGATTTTTATCCTGAGGCCATTTCTCACATCTTTTACTGGCTAGCAATTCTGCTTGAAAACCAAACATCTTTCTTTAGTGCATTTTTCTCCTATTATACTTTATCAGAAGCAGCTAAAAGACCATTGGCATTTTCAGGATTCTGCCTAGCAATCTCCTTGGCTAGATTCAGAGTTCACTGGGCATATTTTCTATCATCTATCATCCATGTGACCACAGGCAATGGTAATGTTAAACATTCTCGCAATACATAAACTAGGCTGCCACTTCAACCTCCTACTGCAATTTCCTCACCACCCTTTCAACCTCCACCAACCATCTACTCTTTGGTTACTGCCTGGCAGTGAGGGTCAATGTCACATATTTTAGGTTTTTGTTATAGCAATACTCCACATCAGGGTACTAATTTGTTTCACTTACTATTATTAGGAAATAAACTACCTCCACATCTTAGAGGCATAAAACAACCACCACCATTTGTTCATGATTCTGCAAAGGGCAGAGTTCACTGGGTCAGCTCATCTCTGGTTTTATTTAGCATTGGCTAGGGAGACCCAAATAGAGTCTGGAAGATCCAAAAGGTCCTCTCTGCAGCAAGGTGGTTGATAGTGTTCAGGAATAAAAGTGGAAGCTGCCAGGCCCAGAACGCTTCCTCTGTATTGCACTGGTCAAAGCCAGTCATTTAACCCAGATTCAAGAGAAGGGGAAATAGATTCCACCTCTTCATAAAGGAAGTGACATGTGTTGACATGGAAGGAATGGTTGGCAACCACTTGTGCAGACAATCTACCATAACCCTTAGACCAGCAAGTGGCAGACCTGAGGCTAGAATATATTTTTTTCTGCCTTTCAAATCACTGCTTTTTCCATCATGCCATATTTTTCATATACTACCATTTTTTGGTGAGACACGGGCTGTCTCAAGTCCTCTACATTACATGGTTTAGACTCTCTCTAGCCATATAGCTGTTATACTTTGAGCCTTGTTATATACAATCAGTATATAATAATGTCTTGTATTTGAAGACTTGGCCAGAAAAGGAAAAAGAACTATTTGTAAAATCCAACATCCAAATAACAGGAGTTCTAGAAAGAAACAATAGGCAAAACTAAGGGAAGAAAATCATCAAGAAATAACTGGAGACAATTTTCTAGAACTGATGGCCATGAGTTTTTATACTGAAAAGCCATAATAGGGGCGCCTGGGTGGCTCAGATGGTTAAGTGTCTGCCTTCAGCTCAGGTCATGATCCCAGGGTCCTGGGATTGAGCCCCACATCGGGCTCCTGGCTCAGCGGGGAGCCTGCTTCTCCCTCTGTCTCTGCCTCTTCCTCTGCTCATGCTCTATCTCTGTGTCTCAAACGAATAAATAAAATCTTTAAAAAAAAAAAAGAAAAGCCATAATAAATAGAACCAACCAACCAAACAAACAAACCCGAGGCACGTCACCATGAAATTTCAGAACACTGGATGCAAACAGGGAGAAATTCCTAAAAGATTCCAGAGATTTTAAAAGGTCATACATGAAGGATAAGAAATAAGAATGGCATTATACTCAACACTCAGATCTTAGTTTCTAAATACCATTCTCCAATAAATGAAAGAGCTTGCCTAGGAGAAAGGGTTGGTTCCAGAAATGGGGCAGAGAAAATACATGGTGAGCTTTGTGCTACACAACTTATTAAAAAGACACAAAGCCAATTAGAAGGAGCCTCTCCTGGTTAAAATTGGGGTAATCTGAGCATCACACTGAATGAGAGGAATTGATTACATTACATTGAATTGTCTAAACTGGTAGTTTGAAAAAGTACACAAAAGATGGGATAAGGGGACGTCTGGGTGGCTCAGTCAGTTAAACATCTGCCTTTGGCTCAGTCATGATCTCAGGGTCCCGGGATCAAGTCCCGCATGGGGCTCCTTGCTCAGCAGGGAGTCTGCTTCTTCCTCAGCCTGCCGCTCTCCCTGCTTGTGCATGCGCACTCTATGACCAAAAAAAAAAAAAAAAGGTGGGATAAGGAAAGCTCTTATTTACAGAGGAATGCCAACTTATAAATGTATCAGGAAAGAAATATAAAGTCACTATTTTGCTACTAGAATTCCATACCCATCCAAATTATAAATCAAGGATAAATACATAATAAACATTTTTCCAAAATGCTGTTTATGTTCACGTACCCTGTGTTGATTTGCTAAGGCTGCCATAACAAATTACCACAATCCTCATGATTTAAAACAACAGAAATGTATTCTCTTACAATTCTAGAGGCCAGAAGTATGAAATCAACGTATCAGCAAGGCTGTACTCCCTCTGGAAGCTCTAAGAAAAAAACCCTTCCTTGTCCCTTCCAGCTTCTGGTGGCTGTCAACGTTCCTTGTGGCTGCATCACTCTGATCTTTCCCCATCTTCACGTGGCCGCCTTCTCTGTTTCTGTGCCTTCTCCTCTTCTAAGAACACTTGTCATTGACCTTGGCCATACCAACTTCTTATTAGACATGTCACTGGAGGCAAGGGAAACAAAAGCAAAAATGAACTACTGAGACTTCATCAAGATAAAAAGCTTATGCAGAGCAAAGGAAACCATCAACAAAACTAAAAGGCAATGTATGGAATGGGAGAAGATATTTGCAAATGACATATCTGATAAAGGATTAGTATCCAAAATCTATAAAGAACTTACCAAACTCAACACCCAAAAAACAAATAATCCAATTATGAAATGGGCGGAAGACATGAATAGACACTTTTCCAAAGAAGACATCCAGATGGCTAACAGACACATGAAAAGATGTTCAACATCAGTCATCATCAGGGAAATACAAATCAAAACCACAATGAGATATCATCTCACACCTGTCAGAATGGTTATAATTAACAACACAAGAAACAACAGGTGTTGGCGAGGATGCGGAGAAAGGGGAACCCTCTTACACTGTTGGTGGGAATGCAAACTGTGCAGCTGCTCTGGAAAACAGTATGGAGGTTCCTCAAAAAGTTAAAAATAGAACTACCCTATGATCCAGCAATTGCAGTACTAGGTATTTACCCAAAGGATACAAAAATACAGATTTGAAGGGTTACATGCACCCCAATGTTTATAGCAGCAATGTCCACAATAGCCAAAACTATGGAGAGAGCCCAAATGTCCATTGACTGATGCATGGATAAAGAAGATGTGGGGTGTGTGTGTGTGTATATATATATATACACACACACAATGGAATACACACACACAGGAATATTATTTAGTCATCAAAAAGAATGAAATCTTGCCATTTGCAACATCATGGATGGAGCTAGAGTGTATTACGCTAAGTGAAATAAGTCAGTCAGAGAAAGACAAATACCATATGATCTTACTCATATGTGGATTTAAGAGAGAAAACATATGAACATATGGGAAGGGGGAAAAGAAAAAAAGGAGAGAGGAGAAACAAGACATAAGGGACTCTTAATAACAGAGAACAAACTCAGGGTTGATGGAAGGTGGTAGGTGGGGGAGAGGCTAGATGAGTGATGGGGATTAAAGTGGACACTTCTTGAGATGAGCACTGGGTGGTGTCTGTAAGTGATGGATCACTGAATTCTATTCCAGGAACCAATAATGCACTGTATGTTAACTAACAAAATTTAAATAAAAAATAAAGTAAATGAATCTGTGTAGAATATTTTCAAAATAAAAATTACAGGAAAACTGTTGAATATTTCTAATGCTGCAGAGGAATTTAGATTTCTAATACTGGGAACCTATAATATACTCAGGTAACTAGATAAGGGGATCTACACTGGGGACACATGTATGCAGATGCTGTCACTACTGAGAGGGTACAATATTCCTCCCCACTCTGTAAGAGGACATTAGCAAAGAGCAAGTAGTATGGAGCCAGTTTTGTAACCCAAGAGACCAGCGATGCGTAAGGATGTATGGGAGGACTGCCCTATGACAGTGATACCTGAGGGTCAGACTTGCTTGATATGAAAAGCAGCCACCGATGGTAAATCATTTGTGCCATTTCTTCAAACAACAACAAAAAAGAGCAGGAGGAGGAGAGGAAGACGAGAGAGAAGAGCACTACAAGGGAGGACACTGGGCAATTGTGACACAGAGAGAAACGGATCGAGAGGCCTATCCTCCTGACCCCGGCATATCTGTAATCTCTTACCATCTCCATCCTAGTTTCTGCATCAGGGAACTCCACATTTTAGCCCAGATCATCTGTAAGTTCTTTACTAGTTCTTACATTTGTAAGGTCTTGCTAAAACAGAGTTTCAAATTCTTTTTTTTTTTTAAAGATTTTATTTATTTATTTGACAGAGAGAGACACAGCGAGAGAGGGAACACAAGCAGGGGGAGTGGGAGAGGGAGAAGCAGGATTCCCACGGAGCAGGGAGCCCGATGCAGGGCTCGATCCCAGGACCCTGGGATCATGACCTGAGCCGAAGGCAGATGCCTAATGACTGAGCCACCCAGGCACCCCAGAGTTTCAAATTCTTTAAGACTCTGCTAAAACAATCTTTGGAAGATTCATAATCCAACTTTATTACTCAGGCAGTACAATTCTAGTTCAACTCCTTAACCCTTTGGCATCTGGTGCTCCTAGGGTCCTTGAGAAGAACTCCTGATTGGGTTCTAATAGGGTAGAGCTCAGGATGCTGTTAGAAGCAAAAGGTGAACAGATGGGTGAGCTGCTCTAAGCAGTGCTAGTTGCAGTTTTTTCTTTTCTCTTTTTAAATGAGAGGTTAGTCTTCCCCAAATCCCAAGGCTCCACTCCCTAATTTGGAGATGAACCAGATGATTTCACTGGTCTTTCCCTTCTCTGGTTTCTGTGATTCATCAGCTATAGCAACCAGGGTGGGGTAAAGAAGACAATTCTAATATTCAGTTATGTTGTAGCTCAAAAGGAAGGAATCTAAGAAAAACTATTAAGATTGTAAGAGAATGAAAAAAATATAACCCCTAATACTCCTAACTCAGAAATTGTTCCCAGGAGGTGTCACTACATCCAGTGCCCTGATCTCGCCTCTTTAAATATCAATTACATGAACATTTTTGTTCATCAAATGCTCTACACATCTTTTTCTATGAAATTGGTAAAATGCTTAATGTAGTACAGATAAATGCCCAGTTGGTTTTGATCACCCATGTCTCTGAAAAAGCTGCCAGTATCTAACTATAAAAATCAAGGAACTCCCCAGACAAATGCACTCTATTTAACAAACACTGAGTATTCACCATACGCCAGGCACTAGGGCAGGACTGCACAGCAGATGCCTAATAGGCAAAAACATGGTAACTCTGACCTCAAGGTCTAGTAGAGGTAAATAAGTAATTCTTATTCGACAAATGTATCAGAAATGAAATCAAAGTGCAGGGGAACCCAATAAGAGAATGACTAATTCTGTCAAGGGCAGTCAACCAATAGAGAAAGGAAGTGAGACATTCTGTCTTGGCCAATGCATTTAGTTACTCATAGCTATTTGAAGTAATTGTGTAACCATAGGAGAGGAAATGTAACATACACCAATGTATTCTATATCTGTGGACAGTGTCAATGTAGAGGTGTGACTGTTTTGTTTTTTTTTTTAAACAAACCATTCTAGTATAAAAACAGGTAAAGAGGAATAGTCACTGGAGAAGATATATTATTTGGTTAATTCCACTCATGTGAAAACTTGAGAATATTTTTGGAACTCCTCTACTTAATTCCCTCAGAGCCTAAGGCAAATCTTAGTCAACTGAGAGGAGTTCTAAGCAATAGCTAAAGGTCATTCTGAGCCAAGGCTCATGACTAAGTGTGCAGAGGATAGTAGGAGTTTCAACTGGGGTTAAAAATACATGAAGCTATGAATAGGACCTCATGTGATTACATTGTTTGATGGAATCAATAGTATTGATTTTCTGGTTTTAAGGAAATTTGATCATTTTGATATGATGTCTGAAGTGGATATCAGTCCAATAAAGTTTTTGGAGTTCTTAAGATACTAAATATTCAAAATAATGTAATACAATCTAAAGGTACTTTTTTTGGTGAAAATACCCAAAAATATAGTGGGCTGAAATGGAATCTTCAATAATGACATACCTATGGATGAGGTACTTATACATCAAAAAGAGTTTCAAAAACCAATTCTCCATGGCCAAGGAAATAGCCAACCAAGTTGATTACAGTTTCCTATGACTGACATTGGCATCATGTAGGTCTCTATCAAAATGGATTAACACCACCAGTCCCTTTTCAGAGCCAGTGGCATTGTTGAGTATTCTGGATAGCTAGAACAAACTCCAACATGACCCCACACAGCTGAAGAGGAAAGAAGAAAAAGCACAGAGTCAATGGATGCAGAGTGTGTCTAGAGACCCTTGCCAACCACTCCTCACAAAGGCTGACCACTCTCCTGGAGTGGCAGTTACTCTTCCTTCATAAACAGAAATCCTTTCTCAGAGTCATTAACATTGCTTCTGTTAGTCTCTTAACAAATTAGTCTGTTAGTAAGTTGTGTACATTATAAAATTGCCTGCCCTGTATTGTGGAAAAAAAATACATGAAGCCTTCATACCCTTTTCAGATATCAAACTGAAAAGGTATGAGGGGCAGAAGGCATGGCCTGAGACCCACCATGGGCTGGCAATGCTGGTCTACATATTTCGTTTTAACTGGGTAAGCCAATTTTCTCATTCAAAGCTGTAATATTCATTTTAAACTTTTAAACATTAACATAATTATCACACAAACATTAAAATATTCTGGGGAGGAGCTCATGCATGACTTACTCTGACCCTCAAGTTTCTGAAGGGAGGCAACTTAGGTTTCAGTTTGGGCTTCTGGGCTCAGCTACTTGGCTCATTTCATTTTTCCTTCTTATACCCCAGAGTCTAAGTTTTAAAAGGTTAGGAAAGAGTCCCTAGTTGTAAAAGTGACATTTAAAGAGTTAACCATCCTTTTTAAAGTGACTTACTTGGGAGGATACCAACCTTTTTTCCAGATTTAGAGTGTGCTTCCAAATGATACAGAGTTTAATTCCCCAAAGAATAATTTTTGCAAAGGAACCCTTACTCCACTTAACTCTGGGCTGTAGAGGGAGGAGAGGCACCTGACCCAGTTTGCATGAGGGTCTGCAGCACTTACCACTCCATTTCTGACTTGTCTAACTCCAAGAGATTTAAGATCAGCAACTTCTATCTCATGGGCTTGACCACATTCTCACAAATGTGGCAGGCATTATTTGGAATTGCAAGAACAGAGGTGACAGATGGCCAAGTAAGATGGATCACTAGAAGCTTTGGTTTGGATTGAAAAATAGCCTCCCCTGATCTCCCTGCTTTCAGACTTCCCTAGTTTCCATCCTCCCCCCCAATCCAGCCTACATATTATATATTGCCATAGTTTCCATTATGGAAGTTTAACCTTGTTGCCCATCTCTAGTGCCACCCCCCATTAAGAAGCTTCTCCTTATTCCCCACCTCAAGACAATGCCACAGTCTCTAAATCAATCACAGCTTTTTAGTGACAAGTTCTCCCCAGCACACTGTCTTAGATCCTTTGGGTCCCTTCACCATAGGCACACTGGTCATGTCTTAGCCACATGGATGACCTGCCCTTCCAAAATGCTATGCATGTTTGCACCTCTGAACATTGACTATACTTTGTCCCTGAGCTTGAAATTTCCCTTCCACTCTGGCAAACTCCTTTCAAGTTTTAGCTCATATGACATTGCTCATTGATTTGATCTGACAATAATTCACATTTACACAGGGACTTGCAGTTTAAAAAGAACTTCCATATCCATTATCTACTGGAAGGCTACTAAAGCCTATAGAATATGCTGGCAAGGTATAAATATCTGGATTTCACAGATGAAAAGACAGAAGAGCAAAGAGGGGAGAGATATAGCCTTAGCAAATGGAGGAGCTGAGACTCCTAACTCCGTACTCCCCACTTCCCATCCCCTTCCCAACCTCATGCCTCTTCCATCAAACTCCAAATCTGGGCTGCCAACTTCTGAGACTCAACTTCTCATACTTCTCTCCAAGTTGTAGCAGACAGTCTTAACATTCTAAAGACTTCCCCAAATGCTGGATGTGAATTAACTCTAGCACAGGCTCTTGGGAGGCAGAAGGCTTGGCAGACAGCAAACTCAGCACTCCCTTATATGCAAAATAACATTTTGGCCTTAGGCACTTAGTAAGTTACATAGTCCTTGCTCCTTAAGAGTCAAAGTTTTCAGGCACTAGAGTGTAGCATTAAAAAAAGCCAAGCTGAATTAGGGACTGACCCACCACTTTATTAGCCTCCCAACATGCACAATATACAGAGATATTCAAGCCTCATGCACTGTGATTTCAGTTTCCCTCACTCTCTCCCTGAACTCAAACGAACTCATTGTGTAATTCTACGAGATTGCATTTTGGAATTGGACAGAGACCACTTCCAGCTGCCCATTGTGGCACTTGGGAAACTATAATCTGCATCACTTTTCGTGGGACAGAGGGCAGATATTATACTTGCAAAATGTATTCCATTATTTATTTTTCACATTAGTAAAACTGCTGTTTGCATATTGTTAGGACCCATGACTAAATAGTTAAAAATAAAACACAAACTCTGTAAAATACATTCTATATCTTAGTCATCTAGAAATGTTAACTTTAAACAGACTGCAATCACTTGATTATTTATTCTGGACTCATTTCTCACTTTGGGTTGAAAACTTCAGGAGCAAATTTAAATATTATCTCATGGATAATAATGCAGTCAGTAAGACTGTCTCTGGGCACAATATCCTCTTTATTTATTTGGAGTCTCTCTAACAGGTTAAACCAAAAAACCCTACAGTTTATTTCTGGAGCCTAAGTTGGGTAGAGGTTTGTTGAAAGACCAACTTGAAAAACTGTGGATGACTTACGTTTACTTGGCATTGGAGAACATTACCTGCAGATGATGAGACCTCAAAAGTTGTGTGAAAGAAAAGACTTTTTTTTTTTTTTGGCCACATCAGGAAAAACAGGTTTGTCCAGACAAGTTTTGGCTGCCAGGTAGAATGTTTTCAAGAGGTTTTGAAATATGGTATCTTTAAAATTATTTAATCTGAATTTGTATGTCCTCTGTTGTTCTAAAATGAAATAGAGTAACACTGGGTGAGTCAGACAGTAATATACCACCTAAGTAATGTGCTCTTCCTGGTGCATAGCAAGAAACACACATTGTTGATTTGTCTCATTACTGGTGATACTAACTTTAATCGCTTAGTTAAGATAGTTTCTGCCAGATTTCTTCTGGATTAAGTAAACAAGTAAGTATATTATACCTAATAATAACCATCTTCTGGGGAGATTCCTTAATAAGACTACATGAATATTCCTGGGCGCCTGGGTGGCTCAGTCGGTTAAGTGTCTGCCTTCAGCTCAGGTCATGACCCTGGGATGGAGTCCCTGCTCAGTGGGGAGTCTGCTTCTCCCTCTACCCCTCCCCCCTTCTCATGCTCTCTCTCTCTCAAATAAATTAAAAAAAAAAAAGCCTATGTTAATATTCCTCTTTGCCATCAAATTTTCACCCACCATATTTAGCATCCTTTGAGGATTCTTAGCTAAGTAATTATCTCTATAATGATTGTAAGTTGGTTTTTCTAATTCCATCATTCCCTCTGGATTTATTGGTTGGCAATCTACTGTAGAATAGAGTATTTCCTTCTTCTCCATTTATTTATTCATTTATGCCAGCATGAGCATGTGGATTACTATTTTACTTAAAGCATTATAATATGTTACTATCATTCTTTCATGCTCAAATTTTCCCAGACCTAAGAACTCCTTTAAGCTAGTTCCTATGTTCTTTTAACATGCATCCATTACTCTTTGAGCACCTTCTTACTTTCTGGTGCAAGACAATGCTCCAGGTTCATCTTGTATTTTCCCAGCCCCAATCTTGGGATAGTATCTCCAAGGAACACTGATTTCTTTTAGTGAAGGATACAAATTTAGAAACCAAGATCTGGGTGCTAGGTGTGTTCATGGCTATGTGAATATTACTGCTTCTAGGCACTATCAGCAGAATTAGGAAATATGTATGCATATGTACACATAACACACAGCTGTATCTGTTTCTCCATCTCTCTCTCTATATATTAAGTGCCACAAATTCACTCTGATACTTCATTTCCAATCCAATACCATGGGGTTTATTCTTGCCTTCCTCTTTCCCATTATTCTCAATATAAAATGTATTTATTTGCTCAGTTAATCTAGTATGTAACCAAACTCCCTGTCCCTTGGCCCTAGTAAAGACGAAGTAGAAGAAAGAAAAGGCCAGTGTGGTCCAAGGGATGCCAGCCCCAATTTCCTGGCTTATCAGCCCAAAGGTAGGACCCAATCTTCCTGTCTATTTCTCTCCTCTAAGTTGTAGACCCACATTTTCAGTTTACAGATTCCATAGGACATTATCACCTTAATTGTACTGTTGACATTTGGTTGAAAATGTAAGTAGTTGTCTTTTTACGCCATCTATATACTTCCTCTAATATTTTCATTTAAGTCAGTGGCAGCACTCGGGCTAAAAATTTCAGTTGTCTTGGAAACCTCTACTTCATAATTCCAACACACAAGCTACTTCATGTGCCATGACCTTTAGCTCTTCTTTGTATTCCCAAGACCTAGTGTCTATAACCTACTTGTGACTCTATGTTACATGAGGTAAACATTCATTTGGTGGACAGGATCAAATCTCATAGCTGCTAACTAAATAGCTTTCCAATTTACACCTCTCCATCCACCTGCTATTTGTAGAGTTACCACCTCCTTGCCGTAAGTCTTTCCTCTCTCTAAATAATCCTTTATATTTTAAGTTTCCTTAAAATTAATGTCATTTTGCTTGAAAAGCCTTCAATGTCTCCTCACTGCTTTTAGAATCAAATTAAACTATCTGGGAATAATAATCAATACCTTCCACTATCAAGCTCTAACTTACCTCTTCAACTTTATGTCCCATTTATCTTCTTTTACCCTCATACTTGTTACAAGATCATATTTGCTATTTTTGAAAATCAGTACTTTCCATAGGATTTTCCCTAATGCTATAATGCTCTGCCTCCTTTTTGTCCATATTAATATTTTACTTGCCTTTCAGAACAAGCTTAAAGGTCATTTTTACCATGAGTTTCTCTTATTTCCAAGCACCCCCTTTTCTTACTCCTATGCACTATTGTGCCACTTAAACTCTGCTCTGTATTATAGCTCATTGCACATATCCATCTCTCCAACTAGATTAGAGAATACCCTTAAGACAGAAACCAATACTGTTTATTTTTACATCCCAAGAAATTGGCATAATGTACTATACACCCAGTAGATGCTCAAAAAAGCACTGTCAATTCATTTCCATGTTTTGCAGATCAGTTGGCAATGAATTTCATTGTTTCCACTTTACCTTCTCCTTAGTCCTTAATGTTTATAAATATGATTTCTATACCAGCTACTTTAATGAAACTTCTATAGCTGATGATAAACCCAAGCAGATATAGCTTTATGAGCAAAAGCATGCAGGTAGGGCCTAGAATGGCTAATCTGTGTGTTGGTAAAACTTGGCTGAAGCAGATGTTGTATTAATGCAGTGCTCGGAAGAGAGGTAAAACCCATGGAATCAGTGTAGCATTGCCTTGTTACACTGACTCTTAAGATTAAGATGCACATACTCTCCTGTGCTGTACATTTTTGGGCAAGCTAAACCTAGGATAGGGACTACAGAAAAGATTTCCTCCTTTTCCCCTCCAAGAAATGCATATTCTCAAGAAAAGGGAAGGAGGAATTCAACCCACTAATCACAGACTCTTTAGGTTTCTTCACTTTCAAAACAGCAATTAATTCATACTGTGGCTTTTCCTCCCATTCCTTAGAGAATTAACCGGACTATACCATGCATGTACAGCAATTAAACACAACCCTTTTGTAGCTCCTTGCTTGATCACATTCTAACAGTAGTTCATATATTGGAAGCAAACATGTATGCCAAGGCAATAGTACATTATGCCTGTACTGTTTGTATCTTCCTTTTTGATGAGGCAATCTAAAATTCCCATCCTAGAAATAGACATCTGGGCCTCAACTCCTTCAGTAAGATCTACCTGGCAGATCAGACCCAATCCTCAGATAGATGCTTTGTGTGTCTGCCCCTACATACCTTGATAAGTCTAGACATTACCCAAGGGGAACATGGCAAGAGTGGAAGGACCAATGAAATACATCTTTATTCCTACATTCAAGGAGAAACTTAATAAATCTTGGTATCAAATACTCTTATGGTTTGATTAAAAGGTACCACATACCTGTAACACATAACAAGCATCTTAATACGTGTATCAGAAACCTCAGATTTAGCATGTTCATAACAAAATATTCAAGTGTTTTCTCCCCTCTCCACCCTAAACCCATACTTTCTTGTAATATATCTAAAATGTTTAGTGTCCAAAGCTAGAACCCAAGTAGAATGGAAAGGAACAGGTTAACTTCCTTTGCAATTGCAAAAGAAGATCCAAATAGTGAAACTATTTCCAAGTTTTGCTAATCAATTGGCAATGAAGAATTTCATTGTTTCCACCTCACCTTCTACTTACTCCTTAATGTTTATAAACCTGATTTCCATACTGGCCACTTAAATGAAACGTTTTAGTGAAGTTATATGGTTTTCTCTGGGGCTCCATTCACGATCCTGCTCTCATTCTACTAATTTCTGCTATGTTACCTTATACATTTCTCTCAATCACCACAGACATACCAACAATTCCCAAATCTGTACTGATGAGATCAGGCTTCTCTTCTGAGTTCAAAATTCAAATTATCAACCATCTCTATTAGATTCAGCATATTGGTAATAAGACATTAAACAGTGTCCTTTCTTTTCTCTCCACCCTAAACCTAATTCTTCTTCTATATCCTTAAAATGTTCATGGCATTTGTGGTAGTTAAAAAATGTTCACAAATTCTTCCTTTATTCCTCCTTTCAAGAGGTGGAGCTTGAGTGTGCACTTACTAACTTATATCTAATGAGGAAAATATGGCAGAAGTGACAGTATTTGACTTCCAAGACAAAAAGACATTGTGGTTTCCTCTTTGCTCTTTCTCTTGACTAGCTCACTTTGGGGTAAGCCAGCTGCTATGTCATGAGGATACTCAAGCAGACCCATGAAGAGGTACATGCAGTGAGGATAAGGCTTCCTGCCAACAACCAGTGAAAGACTGGCACCACCTTTTTGAAAGTAGATGCTCTAGCCGGTCAAACCTTGAGAGGAATGCAGCTCCAGCCAACAGGTTAACTGTAACTTTGTGAAAGACCCTGAGCCAGAGACACCCAGCTGAGCTGCATTTTCTGATGCAGAGAAACTCTAACATAATAAATGTTTGTTGTTTTAACTAAATTTGGGGGTAATTTATTATGCAGCAATATATAACCAATATTGCATCCAAACCTAGAATCCAAGGAACAAATATGGTGAAAGGAAATGAACATTTTATTTTTTATTTTTTTTTAAAGATTTTACTTATTTGAGACACAGAGAGAACAAGCAGGGGGTAGGGGCAGAGGGAGAGGGTGAAGCAGACTCCCTGCTGAGCCGGGAGCCTGATGCAGAGTTAGATCCCTGGACCCTTGGATCATGACCTGAGCCAAAGGCAGACCCTTAACTGACTGGGCCTCCCAGGCGCCCAGGAAATGAACATTTTAACTTAACTCTTCCCACTCTATCCACACTCATCCTCCTACTTTCTCAATGAGTAACACCACTATTTACCCAGTATCCGAAATGAGAAATTGGGATTTCTCTGGAAGCCTTATTTAACTCTTCCTACCAACTGTTTCACTAAGTTATCATTTTTTTCTCCTGTTACTTGAGCCCATCCCTCTTACTTGAGCCCATCCCTCTTACTGCTTTAATTCCAGGCCTTTACCTTTTTTCAATTATTATAACACAGCTTTCCAACTTTTCTCCTTTCCTACAGTCTTTCCCAGCTCTATTTCATTCTCTAGATTAATGCTAACAAGAGCTTTTTCAAAAGCCTATCTGATCATGTTATTTTTTTTTAAATTTAAATTCACTACTGATTCCCACATTGCACAGGACAACATTCAAATGTCATAGCATGGCATGTCTGTCCCTGTCCTACAGCTTTTTCTCTCAAATCTAAGTTCAGAGCCTACAATCTGGCCAACTTTCACCTTTGCATATGCTTCTTTCTTCTATGTTAAGACCTTTCATTCTTTCCTTATAATTCTTACACACTTTTTTTTTTTTTTAAGATTTTATTTATTTATTTGACAGAGAGAGAGAACAAGCAGGAGGAGCAACAGAGGGAGAGGGAGAAGCAGGCTCCCTATCTGAGCAGGGAGCCCGATGCAGGGCTCGATCCCAGAACCCTGGGATCATGACCTGAGCCAAAGGCAAACGCTTAACCGACTGAGCCGCCCAGGCACCCCTCTTACACACTTTGAAAAGACTCACCTCAACCTTCAACTCACTTTCCTTAATTATTAGGTTCAGGTTATATGGCTTTCTTTTATTACTTTATCAGAGCACTTACCCATAGATCAGTATTGTGTCCTCCACTAGAATGTGAGCTCCTGGAAAAAATAAAATCTATCTTTGATACCTAGACATTCATTTAGTCATACATCCAACTTATATTTACTAAGCAATGCAAGACAGTAATACCAGGTTAGGTGTTTGTTACATAACTGTGAACAAAACTGTTCCTGGCCTTTGCATAGCTTATAGTCTAATCAAGAAGAAAGACAGTAAGTCAAATAAACAAATACTGCGATATGTGAAAAAAGAATATTATGTGAGTAACAATGCGGACCTACTTTAGACTGTGAGGCACACAAATGCAAACATTTATTGAACTAAATGTTTTCCAAGAGGTATGTATAAATTATACCTTCACCATAGGTGTAAGTGGACCAGGTTCATCACATCCTTGCCAACACTGACTCTGCTTAACACAGGGTTGCCACAAACCTTCAATTTGTAAAAAATGTAGTATCTGCAAAGTGCAACAAAGCAAAGTGCAATAAAATGAGGTATGCCTGTACTAAAAATCAAGGGAAAAAACACAAACATGATCAAATACATGTTATAAAAGAGGCTTGATTAAGCACAAGTGAAAAACCAAGACTAGATTTATATATATTATCAGGAACATTGAAATATATGGCTAAGATAATTTCAAAATAATTACTTGCAAGACCACACATTTTACTAGGTAAAAAGTAATATTAAAAATCAAAAGCCAAGTCTTTCTGGTATTCAGAAGTCTGAAGAAATCATTGTCTAGCTTTTTTAAAAGAGCAAATTCCAAGGGAATCCCTGCCTCTCCCTTGGTTCACTGCCAAATGATTCACAACTAAAATATTTCTGGGATATGGGAATATGGGACAAAGTTAAAAAAAAAAAAGATCATGTCCATTAAAAAAAAAAAGCATTGTTTTAAAAAGGGAATGGAAGGCGGAGGAAATTATATATTAAAATATATAAAATAGTTTTAATAATTACTTATTAATTTAAAAATATAATGGACTAAAATAATTGAAAACAAAACTTGGTAGTTGAAGATAAAAATACTCAACTGTTACTGATAATAGTTGAAAGATTTCTTGGACTAGTTTCTTATATTAATATAAAACACATTAAAAAGTTCCAAAAACAAAGCAGATTACAAAACTTGTATTTTACAAATGATGCACATATTTCTGAAACTTTTAATGCACATTGAAGGACAAAGACACAAAAATTAAATAAGTCCATTCCTTCTTAAGTCCAAATTGGCTACAGTAACATCAGGTGATGATAAGCTTTCCAAATTCAGCTATGTGGTCCTAGGAAATTTAATCAGTATAGATGAGAAAAGATATTTTATTTTTTACCACGTTAACCTTGTCAGTTGAAATGATGAGCTTTTTCTGGAAAACACACTCATCTCTGCTTTCAGTAGCATTATTTGAACACTCAGCTGAAATTTGTGCCAAGAGATAGAGGGATCTATCACCAAACCTATAACACCACAGAAGGTTTGTTTTTTTAAAAACAAACTGATGGCTGACCAACAAGAAATTGTTAACTTGTGACTTTTTCAGGAGCATGAACTTTTTTATTTTTAATTTTAATTTTTGGCTTGTGCAATGGAATTTCATCAAGTTTTTAAAGATGTTAACTTTATTAACTTGCAACAATCATCGTTTTAAAATAGTATATAAAAACTGTCACAATGGGTCAGAAGCAAGGTTTACATTGGCTCAAAATTATCTCTGATAGTGGCAAGATTCAACTTTTTGAGCCAATCTCAACAGACTGGTGATATAATTCAAATTACTAACATTACATACAATGATAAATATTGCTCTTGAAAAAAGCAAATTATTTTCCTATTTAACAGTTTTTGGAAAAGGTCTACTATAAAAATATTTCTCTTCTCTATGTTTCCCTGCCATGATACTGTTAAAACATATCTGGATTCTTCTCAAACATCATGTTAAGAGTATAACATTCCATTTTAGCTGAAACATTCCTTCACATAGCCAATATATTTTTTCAAGGCACTCTAAGAACTCTCAAGGACACTAAAAGAAAAATGTTCATCTTGTCCACTGATCTTCTAGGCATATTTCCCCTCAAACTTTTCTAAAGTGAACGTTGTTACAACTAGTTCTTCCTCATTTTCCATAGTAGAGTCCTTAAGTTATTTTTCTTTTATTTGGAGCTTCTCCTTCATTTTCAACTTGCTGAGCAGGCAGACTTTTCGTTTCCATGGAAACTGGATTCCTACGGCTGCGTGTAGGCATTCTTGTTCCACCAACCTAAGAGATGAAGCAAAGAATAGTTTAACATGTTTACAAAATATTTATATATGGTCAACTCTGCTCTGTATTATTTATAATATGTACTAATTACCTTGCAAATCGTCCTTTATATGTTTTTAATCTCCAGCTACCTGGCTGCTTCTAAACAAGCTTTAATCTGACACAGTTTAAGGTACTAAGCAATCAGGGAAGGAATAGGTCAGGGTAGATGGAGAGAAATGAAGGGGAAAACCACTCTGTGTTAAATCTGGAAGAGGCTGAAATGTTAAATTAGAAAATGATGGAAGGACAGAACTTATGAGCAATGTGTTTGCAATAATATAGCTGAAGGGCAGAAGAAAGGAAGAAATGAAAAATACGAAGGGAGAGAAAGGAAATACAAGAAACAGGTCGGAGGTGGTAAAGAGGGAGAAAAAAATTACAAAATGGAGAAAGGGACAAAGACTAAGAAAGACAAGTCTACAGAGAAAAAGGGGGAATAATAAATGTTGAAAAACAGGAAGGCAAAAGAGAAAATAACCCAAGTAAAAAGGAAAAGTTGAGGGACTAAGAGAAGATTCTTGCAAGAAAGAAAGAGAAAGGGGAAGAAAAAACTGGAAGGAGGCTACAGAGGAAAAAAAGGAAGAAGGAAGTGGGAGGAAGAAAGTTTGTTGGGGTGCTGGTTCTACCTTAATATCAACTCCTCCTCAGCACAAGTAGCTGCCCACCCTCACTTTCTAGCCCACACAGACTACAGAAATGAGAAGGCGTATTCTTAGGATATAATCCCTTGCTAACTGTAGTCCTGCTGAAGATGAGATCTGGAAATTCTGTCATCTCCTTGGCCACTGAGAGAGCATAGTTTTTAAAAGGGGTAATGGAGAAAGTCAGCCCTTGGAGAGAAGGGCCAAAGCTGTCCAGCCTAAAACCATTTGCCCAGAACCTGTCCATTTCTGCCTCTACTTCCCCTGGCCACCTTGCAACCTTTGTTTCTTCACATCTTGTCCAGTGAATTACAGATCTGGTGATGATGGGTGATATTGTTACTCCAAACACACTCATATTTCCTAATATATCAGACATATTAGCATTGCTCCAAGGGGCTACTGGCTCACTAAGAATGAATCAGACTCCAAGTTCCCTAATCTAATATGTTATCTCTTCAGGGGCATTTTTTGGTATACGATCAGGTGACCAGAAAGGAAAAATTCCAGTTGGGATTTGAGTGTGCCAGTGTGTTTGTCTGAATCTGATGAACTTTTCTAACACACCAATTAGAAAAGAGCTGTGATTTTTAAATTATCTATACTACTGCCCACTCAGGTGGTATTTACTATAAGACTACACTAACCACCCTGATCGTATCTACTATATTGCTGAGGAAAGCATTTTGAAACTTCCACTGTAAGATTCTGTGTGTGTGTGTGTGTAAAATGAATGTTTATTACAGAAGTTGTAGAAGGAGAAAGGGATGGGCACAGAGCCTTTGTGAAAGGACTGGAAGTGGAAGAAGTCAGGGGTAGCATAGGAAGCAAATGGGATTCTCCTATTCATCTCTTCTATATGCAGCAGGAGGTAGACAGACTCTACTGGGGTATGTCTCAGGGTTAGTACCCAAGGTACTACACAAAGATGAAAACTGAGTTCAAGTGGACAGGGACTAAAGGATTGTATCAGAGGCAGAAACATTTGTTATATGAGATTTTACACCATGAAATATGTGGATGATTTTTGTTTCACAAAGGGTCTTACTTCCCCAGGTTTACTGAAACTTCAGTCTTTTCCTATTGCTGCTAAGGCTAGAAACCCTATCTGTGCTTACCTTGACTGGACTAGAAAGTCCCAGTCCCATGGCCTGGCTAGGAGGAAGTAAGGGAGGAAGGTTGGGTAATTCTCATCAAACATAGGGCTAGATTGTAGGGAGATGTGTAAGAGATCACCAAAAACTTACAAGGGCTTAAAAACATACCAAACCAAGCATTAATTATCTACCTGTTTACTCTACCTAACAGCTGGGTCTTAGATAATATCATTAAGGATTTGTCCCTGAAACTGAATGCGTGAAGTGTCTTAAAAAATACAAATCAGCAACTGCTTAGTGGCATACATGTAATTGTTTAATTTTGAATTTATGTGGCCAAACCCTGAACATATGGAATTGTATCCAAGTATTAAACAAAAAAGGAATAAGTCATCCCCATACAGAATTATATGCCACAGTAATAGACCATAATCAGAATTTTTTTTTTTAAGATTTTTATTTATTTGACAGAGAAAGAGAGAGAGCACAAGCAGGGGGAGCAGCAGGTAGAGGGAGAAGCATGCTCCCAGCTAAGCAGGGAGACTGATGCAGGACTCGATCCCAGGACCCTGGGATCATGACCTGGGCCGAAGGCAGACACTTAACCAACTGAGCCACCCAGGCGCCCCACAGAATTTCTAAATTAAAAAGAAATCAGTATCCTAGAAAGAACATAAATCTTTCAAAAGAAGTTTTCAATTATTATATTTAAGAGAGTGAAGAAAATTTTGCCTTAATATAAGTTATAAAAATCACTATTCAAATGAAATTTAAACTGGAAATAACCAATCAGAACTGCAGATAAGATGGTTTAAAATATTAACAACTTCATCATCCATTCTTCATTTGTAGCAACTAGTTAACTACATTTATATATTCTCATGGCCAAGTTAGCTAAGAATGTGCAAGGAGTTCTCATTTCTAAAAAGATCCTTCCAAACAGTAACATTAGGGTAAAGAAGTGAAAAACATAACTTCATTCACTGTAAACTATTTTTAAAAGTCCTCAATATTTGTATTCCAGCTATTTCTAAAAGGACTTGAAAACATTTACGGATTAATATAACACAGAAAGAAAAAAAGAACAGAAGATATCCACAGGATCCACAACTGATAGATGTTCTGGGACACACATAGAGAAGATTATGTTAGACAGACAGTAATTTTTGACTCCAAGATTTTTGGCAGCACAGAAGGAAAATACACTCAGTTTTTATTTCCTGAACACTCAGAATCATTTGTCTAGAACAAAACTTTTCCTACAGCTAAACCCAAAGTGGAATATTATACATGATATAAAGAATGAGTGACATGGTGAAGAGTATCTCTAGCCACGGCCTTACAGAAGTTTCAGGCAGGGAAAAACCATTCAATTGGTATTTCTGGGAAGGAGTCTATAAAGAGAGTAATTTTAATTGTAACTCAATAAATACTGAGTTATATAATACTTAGCAATTTAGTCCTTAATAGTTTATTGCACATTTAATAAGGTACTGCATTCACTAATTACTAACACTTACTTTTTAATTTTTCTATATCCTACTTATCAATTTTTTTTTTAAAGGTATTCTTTTTGTTTTGTTTTTTTTTAAAGATTTTTATTTATTTATTTGACAGAGAGAGATACAGCGAGAGAGGGAACACAAGCAGGGTGAGTGGGAGAGGGAGAAGCAGGCTCCCTTCAGAGCAGGGAGCCCGATGCGGGACTCGATCCCAGGACCCTGGGATCATGACCTGAGCTGAAGGCAGTCGCTTAACCAACTGAGCCACCCAGGCGCCCTACTTATCAATTTTTAATTGTATCATAATTTTATTGTAAGTATTCTTCTGCAAATTGCCTCAAATATTTAATGAAATGAAACAGTACACATAAGTAAGAATCACAAAAAAACTGCTTTTTACAAGAACAGAGGGATTTAACTATGTGGATGCATTACTCATGCTCCCACTGGGCAAGCTAATACAATTTTCTTTAGTTGACTTATAAACATTACAAAAACAGAAACTTCCACTGACAACGACTGGACTCAGTAAAGCATACAACTTTATCTACCCTTCTTATGATATAGTTTTTAGATGATGTTGTGATTAATGTGGACATGAAGTTGAAATATTGTATTGTCAATGACACAGATGAATAATAAACAACCTAATACAACATTTAATTGCAAAAAAGATCTTACCTTTTGTTGTGGTGTGGGGCCTAGTGATTTAGGTGGGAAAGTACAAGGTATTCTTCCATGATGGATATGATATGGTAATAACAGACTGGGATCTAAAGGGACCCAGGGAACTGAGAGACTAGAAGGCACACCAGGAAGGCTGCAATGTGTTTTATGCAAATTGTAGGCTGTCCTAGTAACTTTTCCATCAGAGGTCTTGTAGATCAGGAGTGAAGAATCTTCTGCTGCATGAGACAACAAGTAGGAACCCTCCTGCAAGCTAAATCATACAAGGAAATTTCAACTCACTGGCTCAGTGTCAACTTCAACAGCATGAAAACAATTATGGGAATGGAATACCACCTCTAAAAATTTTTAATGACCAAATAAGATTTAAGAAGTCTTATTTTTAACAATTTTCATGATTTTTAGGCAACTAATTTTAATTGTTATTCCAAAGTTCAGGATACATAATTACTTTCTTTTTACTGTTACCTCAGTCAATTTCTAAGTATTCAATAATTTAATGGGAAACAAACTGTTTGCCTAATTCTCTAATCCACGTACAACATATACTGAAAAGCATTTCATGAGTGTACATACATAGTATTCCTATACAGACCATTTTAATTCATTCAACAAACATAGCTCTTGCTTTGTATCCAGTAATATAAAGATTAAGAGATATAAAAGGGAATGTGGCACATTCACTACACTTAGCTTAAAATAAAGTGGAAGAAAAAAATGGAACAATCACAATACAATATGAGGTGCTATGAGAATAATAACAATAGCAGCTGATAGGTATTGAATGTTTATCATGAGCTAACTACTGTTATACTGCTTATATTCATTTTATTATTAAATCCTCCACAACAAATCTTCAAGGCATATTAATAATTCACCCCATATTACAGATAAGCAATTTGCCCGAAGTTCTGAGTGCAGGGCTTAGATATAAACCCAGGTAGTTCAATCCACAGGCCATACCCTTAATCATGATCCTCTACAATAATCACTTCTGTCAAACATCAAATCTACATTTTCTTTTTCTCCATATAAAGTTTTAAGGAATTCAGTGTATCAACATAAAGAGCTAAAAGGACAGGATTAATATTTTGTGCTTTATTAGGATTTTATATTCCTCTAGCTCAAAGGTGCTAAGGAGAACCTCAGTTCGTTCCCATATCATTTAAAATAAGGACTAATCATACTTTAGTTATATTCATCTGCCTATAAAACTGATAAGTTACATTTCCATTAATTTTTTTAAGCAGAAAAGTAACAGCTGCTGACAAAGGAGGTTCAGAGAATTATTCTTATCCTCTGGAAAACTTTTTTTTTGGAACAATCACTTTCATATTTTCATATAAGGAAATGAGTAATAATTGATTTGGTAGTAGGAATAAATAACATTTCAAAGATTGAGCTTTTATTGATGAAAATCATATATTTTAACTACCCTCACTAAAAATGAAGAAAGCTCTGGTTTACAGAGAATTTATGGAGAAGGCAAAACTTCAAGGAAGAGTATTTTAGAAGTGCCATACAGTGCAATGTACATGGATGGATACTACCCATTGGTGGGCAGAATAATGACCTTCCAAAGATGCCTAGATCCTAAACCCTAGAACCTATAGATATGTTACAGTACATGGCAAAGGGGAATTAAGATGGAGTTCCTAACCTGATGATTTTAAAATGGTAAGATTTTCCTGGATTATCTTAGTGGGCCCACTAGAATCATAAGAGTCCTTCAATGTAGAAGAGGGAAGCAGGGGGGAGATATAACTATGAAAGGAGTCAGAACAATGTGATGTGAGGACCCAACTTGCCTTTGAAACTTTGAAAAAGGAAGAGGACCACAAGCCAAGGAATAAAGGTGGCCTCTAGAATTTTACAGAAGTCAAGGAAAGAGACCATACCCAAAGCCTACAGAAAAAAAAATTCAGGCCCGCTGACACATTGATTTCAACCCAGAAGACCTGTTACACTTACAGAATTGAAAGATGATAAATCTGTGTTGTTTTAAAACACCAATTTTGTGGTAATTTGCTATAGTTGCAGTAGAAAATGAACACACAAACTAAGATATTGATAATAAGATCTCAAAAAGCATTTGACAAATTTCATGTATAAGTACTGTGCTTCACTTGAAGAACATGATATACAAAATAGAATTTCTGCCACAGAATCACAGAACTGAAAAGTACTTAGGAAATCACTGAACTCAACACCATCATTTTATAAATAATAAACTAACATATAGTTGCATATTAAGTAGGAGAGTTAGAACTTTGAAATTTTTCACTTTTATTTCAGACTCGAATTGTTTTTTAGTTTATCTTTTGGTAAGGGCATAACAGAAGGAGTATAAAAGTTCACATAATAAAACAGTCTGATAAATTATCAGGTGGAGAATCCATATTCTAAGATTTCTCATGGACTTAATATTTTTTAAGACTAGCTCTATGTTGCTTCCTTATCCTGAAAATGTAAACAATATAGCTATGCTAGGCTCCATAATGGCCCCCAGGATATCCACATCCTAATCTCCAGAACTTTTGAATGTTACCTTTAATGGCTTTCCAAGTGTGATTAAGGTACAATGTGATAAAGGAAGCAGAAATTTGAGTGATACAGTTTGAAGATGGAGAGAGGCCACAAGTCAAGGGATACAGGTTAGCCACTAAAAGGTGAAAATCAAGACAAGGAAATGACTGCTCCCTTAGAGTCCCCAAAAACAATCAGCCCTGCTGACACAAAATCATTTAGTCCAGTGAAAATGATTTTGGATTTCTGACCTCCAAAACTGTAAAAGAGTAAGTATGTGCTGTTTTAAGCCAATACGTTTGTGGTAATTTGTTACAGTGGCAATTGGAAACCAATACAACAAAGCATTAGAGAAAAATGTTTAATTGCAAGCAAGCCAGTTACTATCATATTATCTTATTTATATTTTCACATTTTCAACCTTGACAAAATAGAATAAATCTTGCATTTCTAGGTTACATTCTATGATCCCTAATAGCATATATTCAAATTTTCTATGAATTTTCACCCAAGAAAATCACATATATCAATGCAAAATGTCCAAAAAACACTTACCTACTCAATTTCTTTAGAATGTGTTGGAGAATGTTAAATAAACTTGAAATCCTATTAAAAAGAAGAAATTCTTGTAAAATTAAATGACAAAAAAGGTATTCTTAACAATTATAGCTCCTGCGAAAGAGAAATACCCTAAGGAAAAAAACAAAACAAAACAATACCAACATAATAACAGAAAACAAAGAATACCAAAATCATTTGATTAAATTCTAATGTTTACTTAATTTTTACCATTTCCTGATTTCTCTTCAAAATCATAAAGTACTTGGCCTGTGTGAATCAGAGCAGTTGTAAAGAGATTACTATTTTATATTCAAATTATAAACTTTTAAAAATGTTCAAGAAGTCTTTAGCAGAACTAACCTGCAAAAGAGTTTGCCGTTTAGAGATGGTGGTGAATTAGCTTCCAAAGAATCTGAGAGGTATTTTAAATGTGTGATACCAGAGAAGCCACTGACTGGCGGCAGAATAGTTAAAGGGAAATGAAATATATTTCTTTAGTACCTATTCTAGCCCGAAATTCATTCCCCCTACGATTTATTTAAAAATGGGTTTCATTGGGAAAGGTGGGGCAGGCAGTGAGTAATGTACAGAAAAGCTTTTTTATTCATGTAAAGAAAAAGTTACTCTTCAAAGGAGGCAGTCCTTATAAATAGAAGTGGACATTTCTAAGAACAAGCAGAGAATTCAAGATTGAACCTGAGACCCTTCGAAAATTGTGTCAAGCCCCAAAGCTAGAACTATGCAACCAGTGTAAGTCAGGACAATTTCTCATCCTAATGGTGAATCAAACATATTAATTACCAAGGTTGCCACTCTAGCTCAGCTGTGTGCTCTGGAGCAAGTCACTCTAAGTCCCAGTTTCCCCACACGTAAAATAGGGATAATACTCCCACCAGTCCTTTCTAGAAAGCTATGAGATATAAATTAGATATTTGTAAGTTATTTTCCTTTGCATTTAGGTATTTGGAGTCCTGAGCACAATAAACTCATTTCAGTATGATGTACAGTAATATGTGGCACAGGGGAAACTTTTAGAAGTCAGGATGTCTAAAATCCTTAGAGTTGAGTCTATATGACTGTCCTGTTCTTTTCCATCCCTGAAAAGGAGTGCTCCCATGCACCTCCCAGACGGTGGGCTCCTACTTGTGCTCTAGCCTCCTTTGTCTGAAGTAGAAAGACTGGTGCCACTGCTATTTGATTTAACTTGAAAATGGACATGATCAATAGAGATGGATCACAAACTGGGTTAGGGGAAGCCTCAATGTATAAAAGGATTAAAAGTCTTGAAAATAAAGGACTTAAACTTAACCAGTATTTAGAAATAAACAACTATTAGTGATTACATTAACACGTTTTAAAAATCCCACCACAAAGTAAACTTTCTTACTTGAGTGCTGAAAGTTTTTCTTTTAATTCTTCTGAGCTAATTTCTTCTAACAGAAAAAGTTTTGAAGTAAATGCATCGATATGCCCTAAAATAAAATATCAAACTTAAAAACAATTGCAGTATTAAAAAAAAGTTATCCAGTCTTCTTAAAGATGTTTTTACAAAACTGTAACAACTGTAAAGGAACTATACATTCTAAAAAGAGGAGAATTATACATTTTATTAAGTTTATTAAGTAAAGCTGTATTTTATTTATTTTTCTAAAAGATTTTTATTTCAGAGAGAGAGAGAAAACAAGTGGGGGAAAGGGCAGAGGGAGAGGGAGAGAGAGAATTTCAAGCAGACTTTGTGCTGAGTGTGGACCCTGACACAGGGCTCAATCTCATGACCCTGAGATCATGACCTGAGCTGAAACCAAGAATTGGATGCTCAACTGACTGAGCCACCCAGGCGCCCCAAAACTGTATTTTAAAATGACACAAAAGTATTAGTTCTAAAATATTTGCTGAATACAGGAAAGTTTACACATGTGTACACCAAAAAATAATCTCTAAGACCCAAATTTAAGAATAACAACTGTTAAAATATTCGTGTTTCTGTTTCCTATCTCCTGAAGGAGATTCCCTGCTGAGAGCGGAGCCTGACACAGGGCTCAATCCCAGGACCCCGAGATCATGACCTGAGCTGAAATCAAGAGTTGGTCGCTTAACCAACTGAGCCACCCAGGCAACCCCACACCTGGTTCTTAAGATAAAATTAGATTATAAAAATCCAGTTTAATTATTTATAATAACCAAGATATGGAAACAACCTTAGGTGTCCAACAACGGATGAATGGGTAAAGAAGATGTAGTGTATATATACAATAGAATATTACTCAGCCATGAGAAAGAAGGAAATTCTGCTATTTATAACAACATAGACATACTTAAGGGCATTATGCTAAGTAAAATAAGACAGAGAAAGAAAATACTACATGGTATCACTTATATGTGGAATCTAAAAATAAAAGTCAAACAAAGGCTGGGGGAGGAAGGAATAGAGAGAGGTGGTAAAAGGGTACAAACTTTCAGCCATATAGAGTCTGAGAATCTAATGTATAATATGGTGACTACAGATGGTAATACTACATTGTATGATTGAAATTTGCTAAGGGAGTAGAACTTAAATATTCTCATCAAAAAAAAAAGGAAAAATATAAATATGTGGGGATGGAGGTATTAACTAACTGGATGGGAGGAATCATTTCACAATGCATATGTATATCAACTCATCATGATGTACACTTTAAATATCTTACAATTTGATTTGTCAAATTATACCACAATAAAGCTCAAAAAAAAAAAAAAATCCGGCTTCTAATTAAAGCACACAAGATTCATCACGGTTAAAAAAAAATAGTCTGCTTAAAGTCTTACTTTCTTACAAACATGACATAATTCCAGAATTCCAAGAAACAAAGTAACAAATGGTGTCACTTTCATTTTAAAAAGTAATGTGGGGCGCCTGGGTGGCTCAGTTGGTTGGGCGACTGCCTTCGGCTCAGGTCATGATCCTGGAGTCCCGGGATCGAGTCCCGCATCGGGCTC